GGGTCAGCTAGTCTCCAATAAAAACTTATTAATTCTAAGGTGAATTACCATCTAAACTATTTTACTTAAGTGACTTAGTAGGATAATCGGCCTGTAGCTGGTGGGTAGATCACAGTCCTTGTTGGGTTTCTTTACAGGTATGAGAATCAAAAAGCCTAGAAATTTGTGAGACACAAATATTCAGGTCATGACATTTTATATAGTTTTGATAATGATATATTTTAATACATTTTTATAAAACATAGAAATATCTTTCTATTAATTAATATATTTTTCTATACTGGCGACCTACGACGCTTATTATGAAGATAGCAATTGAACATGGATCAAGAATTAAAAAAAAAAAAAAGACTTTGGTGCAACGCCCTAATCACTAGTCCTCCGTTGGCTACTTAAAAGGTACGCCCAGACCTCTGGTCATCTCGAGTTAACGCATTTACTTTAGCCATGACGCGGGACTTCTGTTGGCATACTCATTCTGTATGTCCAGACCTCGGGTTATCGCTGACGCCAAAAAGTTCACTGGAATCGCAATTCAACCTCTCCTTGTCATTTAACTCACCAAATCGACTTTTGATGCTTAAGACTTTGGAACTGGATCTGGATTGTATGTTGTTTTTAGAACTGGATTTAGATACTTCATCCAAGTTGTCCTCATCGACTTTAGTCAATCAAACAGTAAGCTCTTATAAAGAATCAGACAATTCAATCCTGCACTATTGAATCAACTGCCCTCATCGGCCCAACTGTTCGAGATACTCTATCGACAAGTACGTAAAATGTTTTACTAACTTCGATGATTATGCCAGATGACTCTTATCCTGTTATGGTGGATTACGAATGTTTTCATACCTTCATGGATTTGTGCAAGATTTCATGTGCTGAAATATTTCAAATTCACAACTCTGCTACAATATGCCTTCCTACCAAATAAGTATAGAGTGTTGACGTGCATATTTGAACTAGTGTGAGGTCAACACTGAGCAGGGAGTATATGTGGGAATCATGGATCCCTGGAATTTGTGAGAAACAAATATTTATGCCATGACATTTTATATAGTTTTGATAATGATATATTTTAATACATTTTTACAAAGCATAGAAATATCTTTCTATTAATTTACATATTTCTATACAGGTATTATATTAGAAGTTTTCCATATGGATGGAAAATAGTTAAGTTATAATATACTATTTACTATTTTGGTTATTAATAGTATAGTTTTCTTGCCTAGATTTTTAATGCAATATTTGGTACACCATCCGTGCCTGGAGCGCTTCTGTTTTTCTGCGTTGAATAATATTTTTATTTCTTTTGGAGTAGTATACTTAATTATGAGATAATCTTGAGGGTTTTAATATATTGAGTTTATTTAAGCCTTGACATAATCTGCAAATTCAGATTTTTCCAGTCCATCATTCTGTTTATGAATTTTTTCGAAGACGTCAGCAATGATATTCGCTTTGTCTTCATTATTTGAAACGTATACAAAGTTCAGTTTCAGGCAGAGTTTACTTAATTGGTATACTTGTATGTTATCTGTAAGTCGTTGAACCGATACCTTTGTTTGTTCGGTATTATTGATATGTTTGACAATTGTAATGTTTTTATTTACATACTATATACAAATACTTTACATATTATCATGTCTTGAATTAAAATCTCCCGCAACTAGAATTTTACTGTTTAAATTAAATAATGTTACTAAATTCCGTATATATAATTTATTATTTGGGAAGTATATAAAACAGAACGTTATTTCGTTACTCACAATCTTCCTCTACATTTATTTACTACACATTTTTTTTAACTGATTTCTTCATTTTATCTATCTCCCAATATTAGTGTTTTTCTATCTTCCAGCCGCTAATTCTACTCAACTCCTTTTCTTTTACTTATTTCTTAATTTTTATTTTTTTTTTATTTTTGTGTGTTTCAATATTTTTTTATGTTTGAATTTTATGCCAACGTGGAGGTTTGAATCAAGTATCAATGGCGTGGGGAGCCAGCATGCTACGGCTATTATATCAATTGATTATTCATTTCAATGTTTATATACTGCAATTGTTTCTGCCGTTCAACAATTCTGCAATATATATTTGTGTAAATTCAATATTATTTTAATTAACTATACATAGAGCGGTAGAGAATGAACTATGAGGCTTGTTTTGTTTTTTTTTTTGATCTGCTAGAAAGCATGCCGGTTGTCAGCAAAATGTCGCGATCGAAAAGTCAAAACGTGCGCTATTTTTGGAGTTGTATTTGTTTGTTCGAACCAATGGAAAGGCAGTATTTTGTCATGTGATTTATAATATTTAATAATCTAGCAAGCTTAGACAAATCTCATTCAAAAAAGTGTGAACAGGAATTATTTATTGTAATAAAATTTATGTAATGTTTTACCATTTGGTCAAATACCCTAAAGTGGCTATCCCAAATATCTTATAGCCATACATAGTGCTATTATAAAAAGTTACTGTTTATGAAACATGTTTATTTGGTATATTTTTATGTTTTATACTTTAGCAGCATTTGTCATTATATACTTGGTAGCATTTTTTAAGAAAATTTACTTTATTAATATGAATGTGAAGAGAACTTTATCATTGTATATTTTTTGGCGGTCGCAATCTGGGCGATTTTTTTTCCGATTTTCACGTTTTGTGCCAGCTAATGTAGTTCTCTTTGCAAGTAAGGTTTTCAATAAAATTCGAAATTTATTAATTAAAAACAAATTCTTTACAAAAGTAAAAACCCGGATTAAACTGTGTCATTTTGAAAAGTCGATTTGACATGACAATCTTTTGTTTTTATGATTACTGGCTCAAATTTTCACACAGTAATTGGTGATAAATTATGGTAATTTTACGTCCAAAGCCTAAATATGCCTTAGATCCTACAAGTTTGTTCAAGAAAATTATTGGTAATCTGATTTTATCCTTTCCCAAGTACGGTACAAGAAAATGTATTCTTACAAAATTGGATGCCAAATTTATCCAGCTTATTTGGTACGTACTACGTAAATGGTCATCGAGCTTTAGTAGAGATCGGTCGCTCTTTTTGCGTCCATTTTTTAATGAACCTAACTCATATCTGACTGACTGACAATCACTATAAATTTTTCTATTTTTATATAATTTTGAAAATTCCGTATTATATATAATTTTTGATTGCAATAATGCAATTTTGCAATTAAATTACAAAATTATGTTTGTCGATGAATCATTCTTGGAAAATACTCTTAAACTATTCTGTGAGTCATATTAGCTCACACCTTAAAAATAGGTATTTTTAAGGTGTATTTTTTTGTATTGCGAATGAACAACGGCTAGGCCTGCCTATGCCGAAAACTAATCAATAAGACCATAGTAAATATCGCCAAAAAGGTTCCATAAAAATCGTCTTAAAATCTTTTTTTCAACAGTTAATTATAAGAAAACGGCTCTGTAGATTTTCATCTAAAACTAACGAGTATCATTCCCAACTAATACATTTCGAACTGTTTTTGATTTTTTAAAAAAGATTCGGCAGTATTAGCTTAAATAAGTTTAATACTTTTCAAATTACAAAGAAACGGCTCGGCGATCGTCGCACAAAACTGTGATACGATAATCCTGATCGAGATACATCAAATGGTTTACAAATTTCTGAAATCGGTTCAGGCGTTTTTGAGAAAATGTCGATCAAAGGTATAGTATTGACAAATGCTCAAAACACGTTACTAATGTTTGTAAACTTTGATGAATTTCTAATCTAATCTTTGATGATCTATAATCTATGGTATCTGCTGTCAAAAAAAAATCATAAAAATTTACGATTTTTTTTGAGAGCCGTTTTTGAGAAAACGTCGATTCACGGCAAAAAATCTGTTCACACACACGCACACATACTTTTTCCAAATTCGGTCTCATTCGATTCAGAATGGCTTGAAACGTCGAGAAAACATAAAATTAGCGAATCGGATTTTTTATGGAAAAATAAATTTCTCCTTCGGGAAGTTAACCAGTGGTTAACGGCACCGTGCCTTAAGACAAATTGCTGGAACTTTTCGAACTATAATAAAATATTCGAAGAATATTAAATGTATAAAATGGATTATGATGAATATTGTAACATTGTCTAATATTTATATAAAATGAATTATAAATTATAAAATGAATTACAAAGTTATAATTATTTATTCGGAGTATATAAGTGATCTTCAAAACTTTAGTCAGAATTAAAATTAAAATCTGTATTATATGGTATACAAAAAAAAATTTTTTTTGGAAAAAAAAAATTAAAATATATATTGTTTTTCAAAAAGCAATCATTTTGTCAGAACAAGTAATATTTTTCTTAATCATTCAAATTGGATGCTTAGTTTTTGCTAAAACAGCCATTATTTGCACACTTATCTTGCCTGACCTGCCTTTGCCAAAATCACCACTTCTACCCTTCATTACGAATTGAATGTTTTTTTGGATCATTCAAATCGGATGCTCCGTTCTCTCAAAAACTCGATTTTCGCTGGACCTGCATTTGCCAAAAACTAATCAGCACATATCACTATCAATAGTAATCGAATGTGTTTTGAACCATTCAAATCAGTTGATCCGTGCGCCCGAAAACTTGGACGAAAAAATGCAGAGACACAAAACATACACACACATTTATTTATTCAGAGGTATGTCAAAATGTTCAGAAACGTTCAAAACGTTAAGATATGCTAGAATTTTCATTTTAGATTTTCGGCTCATAACTATAACGATTTTCATCAATGGAATAACAACTAGTATATGTTGCACTTTTCTGATAATTATGAATAAACAGCTAGGACGATCGTCGAGCATAATTAAACCATAATAGTTTTTATTCACTTTCATCAAATAACACTTCAGTCTTATATGATTCTTTGACAAAAACAAAATTAGTAAATCAAATTTTCTAGCAAAAACAAGCTCTGCGAAGAGTTAATTAATTTTAACATGTCATTACTTATCATATTTTTTTATTGTAGACTGGGCCTGTCATAGACATGCCCGTGCCTTCAAGTTACAATGACATCACCATGGACAAAAATATTCGAGACCATCTTGGATTGGTATGGTATGATAGAACATTTATTGTGCCAGCGAGATGGAATGACTCTATTACGAAGGACGGGCATTTTATTGTTGGCTCCAGAATATGGCTCAGATTTGGTAGCGTACACTATGCGGCAAAAGTAGTAAGTTATCGAAACTTTTTGGATTCATAGATTAGGAATTTTTCACAAAATTAAAAAAAAATTTATTAGGAAAAATAAATTTTGCTTACAGTTTGTTTTAATTGATTTTAACGACATTAACTAATAAACTACATACTGTGCATACCATTCTATATTCTAAACAAATGAAATAGATTTACACACAACATATTTTTGAGTAAAGCCTACGTGTTTAAACGTGCTTACTCTTTCGGGAAGTTAAATACTTCTATGATACCGGAACAGCAGTCAGATCATTATTGTTCGTATAAGCAGAAACTTTTTCAAAAACTATAAGCTATAAATGATTTAATGTGTAGATTGAATTTGAAACAAAATGAGAAAATTCTGTCCTGCTTTAGGGGCCCCCCAAAAAATTTTTGATACGAGGCCCCGCCAATGCACGCTACGCCCCTGTACAGATATGTTGATGACATCCTTTTGTGTTTAGATAAGGATTATGTATCTCACACTTTAAATTATTTTAATTCTTTTAATACTTGTGAATTAAAGGTTAGACTTCGCCGTCCTCACTTACTGGTTCCAAATATAATCGTCATTAAAAATAGATTAGAGTTTTTACAAAACAATTTAAACAGTTCTTCCTATCTTTACAATTCTTTTTCAAAATCAATTTCTTCCTCTTTAGATAAATACAAAGGAGTTATTTGTTTACCTTTCTTAAGTAATATTTCTTATTTTTTAAAGAAGTTATTTGCCGTTGAAGATTTTCTTTTAGTTTTCAGTTTTGACAACACGTTTATTTGCATTTTTTCCTATCTTATATCAAAAACTCCCGCTGATAGGATTATTGATTCGGTTTATAAGTTGGACTGCAATAATTGCAATAGTTGCTACATTGGGAAAAGTTTCCAATGTATTCACAAGAATTAACATATATATAATTCTAGAAACCCTAATCAATTCAAAACTATGCTTTCAGAACATATGATTAATTTGAACCATACTTTTAACATCAAATCCTACCATCTTATACATTGAAGAAAAATTGAGACCTTAGAAAGATAGTTGAGTCGTTACTTATATTCCTTCCCTTAATACTGCTTGTGTCAACAAACGTAATTCCTCTCATCTCTTACATGACAGTTACAAAGTCATTATAATTTTTATGATTCTTCAAAGTGTTAGTATCTTTCGTTCGTTATATTCCTTCTCGGTTTCTTATTCCTTTTTTGTTTCTCATACTCCGCCCCCACTCACTCACCACACGTGCTGCGTAACCTTGATCAGTATTCATAATGCACCGCTATTGAACGCATACAATATAGAAGGGCAATGTGTGCTCCTTTAATTCCTCGTTTATAATTATATTATATTATTCCTTCACACAATTTTAGTGTTCAATAAATTTTACATAATTAATTTTTTCTGGTTTGATATTTATATAATTTTTTCCTTTTCATATATTTTTATTTATTATCAACTTTTGTATTATTGTATTTTGTAGAAAAACGATAAATTAAAGTTTAGAATAAATTTATAAAATTTATCATAAGTAATCCAGTGATAATTTTACTCATAAATATATTTGATTCAAGTTGATTGTGAAGATTTTTTATCAGTATCTTTATTTTTCAATTCTTAACCAGCGATATTTAAATTACACATACACGCACACACACACATATATATATATATATATATATATATATATATATACTAGCAAACCCGACAAACTCCGTTTTGCCACCAGATGGTTTCGTGAGAAAGATGAAGAAATTTTTTGTTTGTTTTATATTTGAAAAGGAAAAAATTGATTTTATTATACAACAGTAATGAATTTATTTCGATTACAAAAATAAAGTGTTTTTTAGTTGAACTTCTCTAAGTAAATGAAAGTGAATCCGCAAATTATCCGTTTCATTGAAGTGCTCTTTGGTAGACCACATTTTTTGTTTTTTGGTCTGACGTTAACACAAACAAAGCGGATGGTTTTCCAACTCGTGAACAGGCAACGTATAACTGCCCATGTAAAAAACAATGATTTTCTGAATAAACTATTTGAAATTTATCCCGCAAACACTAAGCGATTGGCCTTGCGACTTGTTATTGCGAACGCAAGGCGAACTGGAAATTGCAATCGTTTGAAGTCAAACGGAAGACCAGTCGGAATCATTGGTATGTCACCAAATCGTCAGCAATTTTTGATTGAGTGGTGAAATTCAGAGCGTGTACATCATTATTCTTTGCGGTAAGAATTGCTCGTTGACTTGACCAAGCATAATTCTGATAATTCTCACTAATGTCATTATTAGAATTTTTAATTACGGTGCGTGAAGTTCCAGCAATTTGCATTAAGGCACGATGCCATGTACCACTAATTTTCTTAGCTATAAACTTTGCGGAGCCCAAAACCTTTCCAACGAATGCACAATTGTCGAAATCGGTTCGTGCGTTCTAGAGTTATTTCGTCAGGAAGGAAAACCCGACTTATTTTTATATATATAGAAGATATATATATATATATATATATATATATATATATATATATATATTATATTTAAATACTATTCAAAATATACTTCTAAATAATTTTCGTTATAATTACAAATAATTATAATATATAATATTCTAAGCAAATTTGCTTATAATTAGTAATTTCCATTATACAAACATACAATTAACTGCATAATATTATCCTAACATTAAATATCACAATACATAAAAAATATATACAATAAAAATAATTTATTGTATTGAACACATTATTCTAATTTCAATTAATTACACGTTTCAACATCTAACGTTCCATATAGCTGTATCACATATTCCCATTCAATTATTATTACTCAATAATGAATGCTTTTATAAATCTAGTATAAACTAATTGCTGCACGATATTTTTGAGCAAATCCTCTTTGGTCAACATATAATTACTTGTGCAAAAACATTGATTTTCTAATTCAAGTCCAAAAACGAGCATTGTTTGTTCCTGAGCCTTGGCCCATCGTATGCCAATCGTATCAGAAATTGTAACCTCTTAAATGTATCGTGCAATGTGAGGGTATTGTAAAAATCCGTTGTATAAGAATCACATCTCATTTGAAACTTCCTTGCAGCACATGCCTTCTGTTATATTTCTAAAGTTCATAGCCTGACAATATTGGCAAACTTTATCCAATTGAGCAGAGTAGTTATTGATCAAAAGCAAGACTAACAAATGATGCTTGTGTTAATGTGGAGCATGGTTGTTGCCTTCGTCAATCTTGGGCTGTAATATTAACACAATCTGTTGCAGGCTGTAATATTAACACATTATATTCATTGTAGTTTTCTGCTTAATGAATTCACTATCAAACACTACTATGTTTTAATACTTACATGGTTATTTTTCAATAGACTTGTGGGAATCAAGGAGCCCAGGAATTTGATAGAAACAAATATTCATTTCATGACATTCTGTATAGTTTTGATAATGATACTCAAGAGATGTACCATCAATACAATTAACATAATTAATATAAGTTTCAATCAACCGCAAGTTCAACAACACGTTCAGCATCAATAATAGTCGTTTGAATATTTGAATTTTACCGCTGCGCTTTATTAGATTCAGTTGTTGTTAGAGTCAGTTGCTGTTAGAAAAGTTATAAATTTTTTAATAATGCCTGATTTGTATCGTGTAATAATATAACGCTGATCAATATATTAATATACATGCCACGAATCGTAATATTCTCTATTAAAACTCCTGTTTCAATAAGCAGTATGATCTTCAAGCAAACATTTGATTTTATAAACTATTCCATTAATAAACTTTTTTAGAAACACATATACATTCTCCCAATTCCACTACCAACATCAAAAACACTAATTTTATTTACTGTAAGCATACCACACATTGAAAAGTAATATTATTATTTCGCCAAAATTCTGGTGGATGAAAACATTCTAGTATCAGGTTCATACTTATACTCCTTCAACAATTTTTTTACGAACATTAAATCTCCTACTCCATCCAATTTCAATACTGACGTAGTATATTCTGTTTCTTGCAACGATTGTTCTTTCCAATACATTGGACAAACCTCACAATAGTACACAAAAGAATGAGGCAACATGAATTAAGTGTAGTCCATCATAAACGAAAAATTTCAAAAGTACCCTGGTGCAACATTCTGTCGCCCACTCGTTTAACTTCACTCAAAAAAATTTATATCATGAAAATTGCATCTTTTAGAGGTTATTTGTAGAAAGTTGTCTTATACTTATGAACGCTTCTAATAGTGTTAACATTAGATCAGATCACTACCTGTTACATGATTCTTATTAAAGTGAAACTTCTTTAGGCGCGACATGGATGTGAATCCGTATAAATGCAACGGAAGTGAGTTACGGCAGGGTCGAGTGCCAATGATTCGTCATTTGCTCCCGATGATAAATCTATACGGCTATATTTGTGCGAGGTTTCTTGGTATGCGTGACTTTATATGAGCTTCATATTTATTCGAGGTATGCGTGACTTTATACGTGCGTACGTCACTGAAAGCGTCGAGCATATTCATTATTTGGTATTTTATGTCATTACATTTTAAGGTTAAATATTAATACAAATCTTAAGTTAATAAAAAATGACTGGATCGGAAGAATATTTTATCCCGTTACCCATAAATAATTATAGTGCATATAATAAAGCAAATGAAAAATCTGCGCCGTATAAGAAACGTAAGATTATTGAAGTAATTTGAATTATTCGTGGTTACTATATATATTTTTGAGGTTACGAAAATGGAAATTATTTTTTTGGCGAGACAGATAATACAGCTGTTCAAAGAATGAGATTTTATCGCCAGCAAAAAACTAAAAAAAACAAGCAATCAATTATTGTATGTTAATTTTAATTCCATAAAGTTACTTAAACATAATTACTTGACAAGTGAAATTGTAAAATCAATATTTATTTAAGCGTTGTTTAACATAATAATTCTCTGCATTTTTATAGATATTAAAAAAATTAAAGCAGTACAGTTTTATTCTAACATGCCAAAGATATATCTTTCTCAGAATTATATCTCATATACATTTTTAAGTTTAGAGGAAGTTTATGATGGCTATTAGGTATAACAAAGTTACATATTTTTATAAATAATGAAGAATAAATTGATATTTAGATTATTACTCGAAACAAGAGATCAAGCACAACAATAGTTTGTGTAGCTTTGTTTGTATCATTTATATACAAATATACTTTATAATGGACATCTAAGCAGTTTATTCATTTCTAGTGTTAATGAAATTATTCAAGATTGTTATATTACAGCTGTCCACTTTCTGAACGAATATTATAGAATTTATTAATCAGCAATTACTTCATTTCTCTAATAAAGATTCAAGTCCTAGATGCTAATTCCAACGACAAACCGATCATGTCGTATGACTTTAATTGCATTATTGTTTTCAAATATTATAAATATTTTTAATGCTATTATAAATTTATAATTTATAATTATATAAATATGTATAATTGTTGAAATTAAAAATGTGTGCATCACGAGTGTTACCATATTACTGATAAACATTATTCAAAATTGTTATATAGTGTATTTATTTTTAACTTAAATGCCATCTCGTACAATAGTAAAAAAGTTTTACTTCAATCGCGTGTGAACCTTACACGCACTCTTTTTTATATTTTTTACACTTTTTGACAAATAATTAATATCGACAAGCATTTAAGATCAGTAATTTAAGTATTTACATCCTGATATATAAAAACAACACGCACACATATACACGCAAATTCCAAGTGTCAAGTGTTTTCTTAAAAATCCTTTCGTTCAATAATCAGTTTGTTGCCAATAGTCGTTTCAAAACATCAAGGCAATGATACTTTTTGTCTCACATAACAACCTAAAAAAAGACATAATTTAAAGAAATTCTGAATTACAAAATTTGTTTCTTGGTCTGAAAAGAAATTTATAAAATCACTTTTTTTTTATAAAACCTTTTTTTAGTGAAAAAGTGTTAGTGTCATCAATCATAATTAATTCTGTTTTTTATTCAATAACTTTTTTTTAAAACTTTCTAATTTTTTAACATTTTGTTACATATTCCACTCATTTATTTTTATCATTTTCATTTTGATTATGGTGACGCCACTGACTATTACATGCGTCGATAATAATAATATAGTCGCCATCTCGGGGTTGCAATATGTCAACCGATTTATTTTTTTCTAATCCAGACTACCTGTCTCTTTCCTTCCAAAACCTTAGACTACCGACATGTGGTCAGTCTGTTCTAGTTGATTCCGAGTTCTGTTTCGTTCTAGTTTGCTTCCAGTTCCGCGTTCAATTTGCTTCCAGTTCCATAAGTACGCTTTCAGCCTGCTTTCCTTCCTTCGTCAGTCGAGTTTAGAAGTTTTGTTGAGTTTCCTTTTATTGTTCAAAGTGAGGTCATTTTTTAGTTTGTTATTATCATAGAAAAAAAACGTTTTTTAGTTTCAAATACAGTCCATATACAGTCCAAGAATACCAGCCATCCGTGTGGTCTGCTAATAGAATCAAGGCCACACCACATTTTGGCCTCCCGAGCCGGATCTCAATTAAGATTGAGAGTTTCTACAAGTTGCCGATTCAGAATCTAAGTACTAATTTACAAGTATATATATATATATATATATATATATATATATATATATATATTTGCATTTACCGGATATCGAGGTAAGATTATTATATTTCCAAGTTTCTTATATAATCTTAAAAATGCCGCCCAAGAGTGTATCTGCCAGTGCTGAAGTCGCACGACTAATTTCAAAACGAGAAATGTATTTTTCCATTATACAGAAGACGTATGACTTGAGCAGAGATGTGGAAGATGCGTCAAGCAAGCAACAATTCTGTACGAACCTGGTAATGTTAGATAACATTCGAGATCAATTCATAAAACTTACCGACGATATTAATAAATTAAACGCGTTGGAAAATCCCAGTTTCGTACCGGATTATGCTGCCCTTCTATCCGTGGAACAATTATACGCGGAGATAAAATATATTGAAAAAACTATTTCTGCTGTAAATAATACTTTCTCTTTTACAAAAAGTGAAGATTCCCCATCTAAATTTATTTCAAAATCCCGTCTACCAACAATTGAAATACCCGAATTTGCGGGTGATTTAAAAAAAATGGCCGCTATTTTACGAAACATTTAAAACACTTATACACGAGAATCCCGAGATTGATATTATATCCAAATTTCATTATTTAATGGGCGCATTAGAAGGCCCAGTAATGAAAATTTTCAATACTATATTACCTACCGCCAATAATTATTCAATTTTATGGGAAGCACTGATAATCAAATACGAAAATAAACGTTATCTGGGCATTAACTATTTCAAACAGTTAATGTCTTTTAAAACTGTAAACTCATCACAGTTGCATAACTTTATCGAGAAATTTGATACTGCTGTACAAGCATTAAATCAATTAAATATTCCAGACCTGTATGATTTTTTACTAACATAGATCGCTCTATCCAAATTAAATACCAATTTACAGGAAAAATTTGAAAATTATTTTCAGGGCGAATATCCTTCCTATAAAGAATTATTACAATTCATAAATAAAGTGCAAAAAGGTCAAAGCTATATTTATGATTTGCGCGAGAAGGTTACGAAAACCAACATATCTCATTCTGTGGTCACCAGCAATGTCAAATCGCTTCAATGTTACTTATGCAACGCAAGTCATAATATTTTTAAATGCTCGCAATTTCTAGAATTAGATATCAATGACAGATGGTAGGCAATTAAGAGATTGAATCTTTGTTCGAATTGCCTGAGTCATAAACGTAACAGTCCGTGTCATTCTAAGAAAACATGTCTGTATTGTAATACCAAATATCATACTTCATTACATTCAAATAATTGTGTTGACAATACAAAACAATTTCCAACAGATATTCATTCCAAAAATTCGAAGCAAAAAATTTCCGATTCCAATTCAAGTAATATTTTATGCGTTGTAAATGGATCAGATTTATCACATTATATAAATCTTATGCCGACCGCAACTGTTTATGTTTTGGCAACAGGTATTAAAACTAGTCCGTTACGTGTCAGTATTGATACCGCAAGCGATCGCAACTATGTGACTGAGTCATTCTGTAAATCCGCTAACTAGAGATAACACCGATCTAGGCTCAAGTCATTTCTATAGGTAACTCTTCGCAAAAAATTACGGGCATGGCAAATTTTATTATTATGTCGAATGATTGTTCCTTTCAAATGTCTGTATGTGCCTATGTAATTCATGAAATTGTCAAACCACAACCGACCATTAAAATTCCCTTCGATTCCATTAATAAATTTTTATCTTTACAACTGGCGGATAATAAATTTTTCATTCCTCAAACTGTTAATGGAATCTTGGGTTGTGATGTATTTAATGCTATTATTATGTCAAATCACATAAAAACCGTCGATTCACCTATCGCATTGGATACAAAATTGGGTTATGTAATAATGGGATCTCTTCCAAACGTTGCATCGCCTGATTCAAGTTCGACAAATCTATGCACGATTGAACATGATTCCTTATCTAAACAAATGAAAATATTTTTTGAGTTAGAAGATGTACCTGACATGATTGTGTCGGAAAACAATTATTGCGAACAGTTCTATACGTCCACCACAGTACGGAATTTCGATGGACGTTAGGTGGTCGCATTACCATTTCGTGACAACGTTAATGTAAATTTTCAGAAATCATATGAACTCGCGCATAAGCGTTATTGTATTTTAGAACAAAAATTTCGGAAATCTTTTGAATTCCATAAACAATATTCAGAAGTAATTCAAGATTATTTACAACAAAAACACATGTCATTTTTAGGCCATGTAAATGATTCCGCAGCCAATGAAGGGTATTATATTCCACATTTCGCCGTGATTAAAGACAGCTCCTCCACACCGTTACGAATTGTATTTGATGCATCAGCAAAGAATGCTGAATTTCCTTCCCTGAATGCCAACCTATTTTCCGGGCCAAAGCTACAGTCTAACATTATCACAATTCTTCTTAACTTTCGTTTTGGCAAAATTGCGTTAACGGCCAATATTAAACAGATGTACAGAAATATATTAATTCGTGATCAAGATAGACGATTTCAAAGGATACTTTGGATATTTTCTCCGAAAGATCCCCTCGGCATTTATGAATTAAACACTGTCACGTTTGGTATTACGTCATATCCTATTCATGCGTTACGCACTATTAAACAACTAGCTAAAGATGAGAGCAAAAATTACCCCTTAGCCACTGATATAATTCAAAATGATATTTATATCGACGACGTGGTTACTAGTGCAGACACCGTCGAAATCGCAAAACAACTTTACGTTCAATTGTCGAGTTTGTTTCGTTCCGCGCGTTTTGAACTAGCGAAGTGGGCTTCGAATGATTGTCTAATGTATAAACAATTTGAATCACACCATAAAACACAAATTAATTTTTCACAAACAATCTCTGAATTTGATACTTCCGTTAAAGTATTGGGATTGAGATGGGATCCAATTCAAGATTGTTTTAAATTTAATATTAACCTTCTCCATCAAAACTTGACAAAACGCCATATATTATCCACCATTGCTCGTATTTGGGATGCTTTAGGTTTTATTACGCCTGTTACCATCAAATTCAAAATGATCATGAAAGAACTATGGTTATTAAAATTGGATTGGGATGAGCCATAACCTTCCTCGTTAGTTGCAACATGGCTTAGTATTTATAATCAACTTCCAGAATTGATTATTCTTTCCATTCCTCGATTTGTAGGTACCAAAAATTATATTCGTTGTTCTTTTTACGGTTTTGCGGATAGTTCAGAAAAGGCTTATGGGGCTGTGATTTACATCAAGCCTTGCCATGTTAATAAATATTACCTTCTTATTTCAAAATCAAAAATTACTCCAATTAAAGTTCAAACTTTAGCAAGATTAGAGTTGTGTGCGGCGCATTTATTGGCAAAATTATTATCCTTTGTCATATCTTCCAATCATCATTATTTATGTATCAAAAAGGTATATGGTTTTACGGACTCGATTATTGTGCTTCATTGGTTAACAGGTCCAGCTCATAGATGGAAAACTTTTGTCGCAAATAGAGTAACGATAGTTCAAGATTAAATGGTATCGTGCAATGTGAGGGTATTGTAAAAATCCGTTGTATAAGAATCACATCTCATTTGAAACTTCCTTGCAGCACATGCCTTCTGTTATATTTCTAAAGTTCATAGCCTGACAATATTGGCAAACTTTATCCAATTGAGCAGAGTAGTTATTGATCAAAAGCAAGACTAACAAATGATGCTTGTGTTAATGTGGAGCATGGTTGTTGCCTTCGTCAATCTTGGGCTGTAATATTAACACAATCTGTTGCAGGCTGTAATATTAACACATTATATTCATTGTAGTTTTCTGCTTAATGAATTCACTATCAAACACTACTATGTTTTAATACTTACATGGTTATTTTTCAATAGACTTGTGGGAATCAAGGAGCCCAGGAATTTGATAGAAACAAATATTCATTTCATGACATTCTGTATAGTTTTGATAATGATACTCAAGAGATGTACCATCAATACAATTAACATAATTAATATAAGTTTCAATCAACCGCAAGTTCAACAACACGTTCAGCATCAATAGTAGTCGTTTGAATATTTGAATTTTACCGCTGCGCTTTATTAGATTCAGTTGTTGTTAGAGTCAGTTGCTGTTAGAAAAGTTATAAATTTTTTAATAATGCCTGATTTGTATCGTGTAATAATATAACGCTGATCAATATATTAATATACATGCCACGAATCGTAATATTCTCTATTAAAACTCCTGTTTCAATAAGCAGGATGATCTTCAAGCAAACATTTGATTTTATAAACTATTCCATTAATAAACTTTTTTAGAAACACATATAAATTCTCCCAATTCCACTACCAACATCAAAAACACTAATTTTATTTACTGTAAGCATACCACACATTGAAGAGTAATATTATTATTTCGCCAAAATTCTGGTGGATGAAAACATTCTAGTATCAGGTTCATACTTATACTCCTTCAACAATTTTTTTACGAACATTAAATCTCCTACTCCATCCAATTTCAATACTGACGTAGTATATTCTGTTTCTTGCAACGATTGTTCTTTCCAATACATTGGACAAACCTCACAATAGTACACAAAAGAATGAGGCAACATGAATTAAGTGTAGTCCATCATAAACGAAAAATTTCAAAAGTACCCTGGTGCAACATTCTGTCGCCCACTCGTTTAACTTCACTCAAAAAAATTTATATCATGAAAATTGCATCTTTTAGAGGTTATTTGTAGAAAGTTGTCTTATACTTATGAACGCTTCTAATAGTGTTAACATTAGATCAGATCACTACCTGTTACATAATTCTTATTAAAGTGAAACTTCTTTAGGCGCGACATGGATGTGAATCCGTATAAATGCAACGGAAGTGAGTTACGGCAGGGTCGAGTGCCAATGATTCGTCATTCGCTCCCGATGATAAATCTATACGGCTATATTTGTGCGAGGTTTCTTGGTATGCGTGACTTTATATGAGCTTCATATTTATTCGAGGTATGCTTGACTTTATACGTGCGTACGTCACTGAAAGCGTCGAGCATATTCATTATTTGGTATTTTATGTCATTACATTTTAAGGTTAAATATTAATACAAATCTTAAGTTAATAAAAAATGACTGGATCGGAAGAATATTTTATCCCGTTACCCATAAATAATTATAGTGCATATAATAAAGCAAATGAAAAATCTGCGCCGTATAAGAAACGTAAGATTATTGAAGTAATTTGAATTATTCGTGGTTACTATATATATTTTTGAGGTTACGAAAATGGAAATTATTTTTTTGGCGAGACAGATAATACAGCTGTTCAAAGAATGAGATTTTATCGCCAGCAAAAAACTAAAAAAAACAAGCAATCAATTATTGTATGTTAATTTTAATTCCATAAAGTTACTTAAACATAATTACTTGACAAGTGAAATTGTAAAATCAATATTTATTTAAGCGTTGTTTAACATAATAATTCTCTGCATTTTTATAGATATTAAAAAAATTAAAGCAGTACAGTTTTATTCTAACATGCCAAAGATATATCTTTCTCAGAATTATATCTCATATACATTTTTAAGTTTAGAGGAAGTTTATGATGGCTATTAGGTATAACAAAGTTACATATTTTTATAAATAATGAAGAATAAATTGATATTTAGATTATTACTCGAAACAAGAGATCAAGCACAACAATAGTTTGTGTAGCTTTGTTTGTATCATTTATATACAAATATACTTTATAATGGACATCTAAGCAGTTTATTCATTTCTAGTGTTAATGAAATTATTCAAGATTGTTATATTACAGCTGTCCACTTTCTGAACGAATATTATAGAATTTATTAATCAGCAATTACTTCATTTCTCTAATAAAGATTCAAGTCCTAGATGCTAATTCCAACGACAAACCGATCATGTCGTATGACTTTAATTGCATTATTGTTTTCAAATATTATAAATATTTTTAATGCTATTATAAATTTATAATTTATAATTATATAAATATGTATAATTGTTGAAATTAAAAATGTGTGCATCACGAGTGTTACCATATTACTGATAAACATTATTCAAAATTGTTATATAGTGTATTTATTTTTAACTTAAATGCCATCTCGTACAATAGTAAAAAAGTTTTACTTCAATCGCGTGTGAACCTTACACGCACTCTTTTTTATATTTTTTACACTTTTTGACAAATAATTAATATCGACAAGCATTTAAGATCAGTAATTTAAGTATTTACATCCTGATATATAAAAACAACACGCACACATATACACGCAAATTCCAAGTGTCAAGTGTTTTCTTAAAAATCCTTTCGTTCAATAATCAGTTTGTTGCCAATAGTCGTTTCAAAACATCAAGGCAATG